GGATGAAGAAATGGATTCTCAGGTTAAATGACTTGTCTTAGGTCACAGAGCTAGTGAATGAATACCTGATGTTATAGCTCTGTGGTCTCAACATTTACAATCCTTTCCCAGGCTAGCATCTTCTTAAAAATTTATTTAAAATTTTTTTTTGGTCAAAGCTTTATCCACAGTTAAGAGTGAGCTAGGTGTAGGAGGTCGAATAAGATAAACAGCAATTCCTAGCCATCCTACCCTCTTTTTCCCCTTTTCTGAAGGCACCTCTTTTAGCCAGTTAAAAAATACATATTTGCCTCCATGTATCTGGAGAGCATACTTGAAAAGTTCACACTTGCATGCATGCCTGCTGATTTTTTTTTAGTTTTAAACATATTTATTAATTTCCTTCTATGAAAAGATACGGAAGATAAAGATTAGCTTTCTTTCCTCCCCTCACTGTACCCTCCCCCGTGTTTTATCTTACTGCCTTTCACTATAGTTTTATTGCAGTTTTGGTTAAGTCAACATTGGGCTTTGTCATTATGGCCCTTTGTGCTGCTTATAATGTTTAGTGTTAAATTACAAATAACTTTTTCTTTCATAGACACCTTTTGTTTTTCCTTGGAAATGTTGGATAATTTTTTTTTTAATGTGCTAATCAGTAATGTAGCCTCAAACGATTGGTTGGGTACTTGATCAGGTGCTCCGTCAGTTTTATCTTTTTAAGACTCTCCCTGCTCCAGTCTGGACCGCTTGCCCTCCCTGCTGGGACCCAGGGGCTGGGGCGAGGTGGTCTTTCTGCTCTGCCCTGCGCTGACGCTCCTGTTTCTCTGTTCACCGACGTGGCCTCTCTCGTTGCCCTGCCTCTCGCCCGTGTGGAGCCCGGTCTGCCGCAGCCTCCGCGAGAAAGGCGTGTGGGAGGCGCGTCCTCTGAGTCTCTCTGTGCCCTTGACTGATAGTTTGGCTGGGTGTGGATTTCTGGATTGGAGATCGTCTTCCTTCTGTTAGTTTGTTGCCTTTCAAATAATACTCCTTTTTATGAAGTAGATGCATTATCTTCTCTTTTTGAGGAGAACAGTTTTATTTTTATTTTCTCTTTTTCTTATATAGTCTTTCCCTCAGCTAGCATTTTCTGTTTGTTTTGCTCTCTACTTCTCATGATAGAGGCTTTCCCAAGATGTCTGGTAACCCTTTGGTTTTCATTAATATTTAAAAGTCAGGGCCCTGGCTGGTGTGGCTCAGTGGATTGAGTGCCATCCTGCAAACCAAAGGGTCACCAGCTCGATTCACGTGCCTGGGTTGCAGGCTAGGTCCTCAGTGGGGGTGCGTGAGATGCAACCACACACTGATGTTTCTCTCCCTCTCTTTTCCCCTTCCTTCCCCTCTCTAAAAATAAATCTTTAAAAATAAAAAGGTCAGAGGCACACTCAGACAACACATAGAGTTGATTCATATGAAGTTGCCGTCTTTCCCAGCTTTGTCCACTATCTGTGAACATAGTTCGTTCTCAGACATCGATTTCTAATTAATGCCCTCCACTGATTGGAGGGCTCCTTGGGGCAATGACTGATTTCAGAACTCAGGCCGACAGTGTGTAAGATGAATCAGGAACATGTTGTTATGCCAGGAAATGAGGAAGTGCTCAAAAATACGAAAGGCATACAAGAGTCTGCTGGATGGGGCCCCCACTGGCCAAACCTGGGACAACTTGAGCATCAGAATGAATAAAGACATTAATGAATAAAATAAGCATCTGTGAGCCCATCCTTAATGCATTAAAGAAAGAGTGGGTGGAAGGGAACATACCTGACTGAAGTTGCAATGTCAGCTGTAGGTGCAGAAGGAGCAGTGGATTTACAAAAACAACCCGTCGTTTTTAACTGTCAGGATAACACTTGATTCAGACAAGAATTGCCAGTGAGGACTGATACTGTTGGGTGAGTATTTCAAGAGTGTGATCTCAAACCCTCTTCCCACAGATCGCTTTCTAATTAATTACTAAGGGGAAATGGTTATTTTACATTGGAGAAATACGGCAAAGTTTAGCTGAGTTATTCAAAATTATCACCAGTAGTGCGATAAGTTGACATCATCTTGTCAATTTATGTGATACTCTAGGAAAAACAAAGCTTTATGTATGTGGTATTCCTACCAGAAACGCACACCTGTATTCTCACAGGTGTCAGTGGGATGAAAGACAGAGGCCGCAGAGCTGTCCGGGTGGACGGAAGCAGAGGGGACGTGAGGTTGCGCGGGGTGGGCGAGTCCGGCTTGAGGTGCCGGGGTGGCTGCGAGGGAGATCATGGAGGAGCTGAAATGCGAACGGTGTGCTCCGTAATCAGCGATGACTGTGTCAAACTCTCGGTTGTGACATGTGCTGTGGCTGTGCAGGGGCATGTTCTTGTTCCTGGGAAACGCACAGGGAACCTCCGTGGCGGCCGCGGTGAGTCAGACGTCTGGGACGTGTGTGGCGGGGTCAAGCAGGCGTGACTCGGTGGCTGACGCGGGTCTAGGCGAAGGTCCCGTGGGGGTTCTCCTTCTTGTGCTGCCCTTGCAACTGTTCTGCAAGCGTACGGTGAAACGTGTTTTTTCTTAAGAAAGATTGGAGTAAGGGTGGCTCACTGGAGGGCTGTGATCATGGGCGAGGCTCGTTCATCGCCTGTGAGCTGCTTTGGTGGGGAAGCCACCCACTGTCAGTGTCTTCAGCCGTTCTCCGTGGAGGGGGATCACGCCGGAGACACTTCTCAGTCTTCCGCCTGGCTGGGAACATTGGGGAGCTTTGTGGGAGGATCTGGCTTGGGGGGCGTGCCTGCGTCTCAGCGTTCACTCTGCCGCTCACAGCCCCTGTGTTTTCAGGGCCGCGGGCTCATGTCCCGCTGTGCCCAGACCCCCCTGTTCTGCGGCCTCCCTGTTCGGCTCCCTCGCATCCTCTGCTAGGGGTGGGAGGGGCAGGACAGGGCAAGGAGATTTAGTGATCCGAAGTGTCCATTGAAGAACTTTCGATCAATATTCCTTTTGTTTCCTTCCAGCACCCCTTCCATTTTTTTGTCTTATCATGGTTCTTGTGGATGTGCCTTTAAAACAAGACAAAGCAACTAGTTTTTTAAAATACTTTCTTTTAAAAAAAATTTTTTTTAAAGATTTTATTGATTTATTTTTAGAGCAAGAAGGGAAGGAGAGAGGGAGAGAGACATCAGTGTGCAGTTGCCTCTCATGTGCCCCCTACTGGGGACCTGGCCCACAACCCAGGCATGTGCCCTGACTGGGAATTGAACCAGTGACTCTTTGGTTTGCAGGTCAGCACTCATTCCACTGAGCCACAGCAGCCAGGGCCCAAAACAGTTTTTTACTGTAGTTCTAGAGGCATTTCAGTGTATGTTCAGTGCATCCTCTTTACCCAGGAGTCTCAGTACAGCACTTGTACATCATTCCAGTTTCTTTTCCGTCTTTTTCATCTTGTTTCTCATGCCCTCACACTCTAGAGTAACCAAATTTCTTACCATCAATAATAAATAGACCTGCTCTTTTCCTTCCATAGTCTAAGTGAAAAAAAAAACACAAGTAAACAAAAACTTTTCCAGAAAAGCAGATTATGTCTCAACATATTTGTTACAACATAATAAGCACCTATATTCATCCTGATGTTTTTTTCTTCTGCCTTTCCTGGTGGGGGCGGGTGTGCTGCAGGTCGAGGAAGGCAGGTTGATACACCTGTGCTGAGAACCTGTGATTGATTGGCCTGCAAACAGGTGCAGTGGGTGAGCCTGGCTGTTGGGAGAAATGATTACAGATCAGCTTTGAGGGTCCCGCAGTCACTTGAATTTAAATGCCAAATGTGTGTACATGTGGGTAGATTTTGTGGAGTATACAATTTTATTAGAATTGAACGGCATCTGGAAACCCTACCATGGAGAGTGGTGGTGATAGGGGCATTTGGGAGTGCACTTTTCACACTAGCATGTTACGCTTGCCGTGGCTGAGGGCTGTAGCAGCACATGGTGACCCAAGAAGTTAGACGATCAATTAGACTTTTTTAAGTGTATGTTCAAAATGCATTTAACTTAAAATTAAATTCTCTTTTCATTTTAACCCAGGTTTGTTACTGTTTTTGTTGATCCACTTTGTTTTGAGAAGCAGTTAGCATTTTTTTAATTGATTATCTCATTTGAAGGAAAATGTTGAGATCACAATGTAGTGTGAGTTTTATGGGAGAAAGGCATTAAATGAACAGCATTTTTTAAAAGATGCCTTTGCATTCTTACAGGGTTTCTAATTACTATATTGTCTAGAGTTTGGGCTTTTTCTGCAGTATCAAGTGTCTGGGACAACTTATAGTTTTTCCATGTGTGGCTTTTAGTTAATTGATATTAGTGACAATTAATACTTCAATGACTTGAATGTTCTGCTCACAGTTTCTAGTAAAAGTTACGACTGTTTAACAGTATCACATGGGGCTGCCACCTATAGGCAGTTAGAGGGAGACACTTAAAAAATTTCTTTTAAAGTTTATTGACTTCAGGGAGGGAGAAACCTAGAAAGAGAGAGACATCCATTGGCTGCGTCTTATACTCTCCCTAGCTAGGAAGTGAGTCCCCAGACTTTTGGTGCCTGGGATGATGCTGCAGCCAGCCGAGCCACACTGGCCGGGGCAGAGGGAGACGCTGTTCAAACTTGTGTTAGTGCTTTAAAGCACAGTGCCTTTGCGGCCAGCCCTGTGTTGGCTAAGAGTCGGTGTTTTCGTAATATAAAGAGAAGTGTGTATTTTTTCTTACTCGCCCACTGATAGTGCTATTAGGGGTCTCTATTTCTGGGCTGTTGTTAGTAGTGTATAGGGTAACAGCTGCCATGTAGGGGTGACTCTGCCGTCTTTCCTGCTTTCACATAGAACGTTCAGGTAACTGGAACTGCCCAGTCTTCGGTGGCCGAGTTCCGTGCGAGGCAGGACCCCGACCCAGCAGCTCTGATGACAGCGGTCGCCAGAGCAGAAGAACGTGTTGTCATTGCGTGCTCTCTTCTCTTTCCAGGAGAGCTTCTGCTTCATGTTCCCGTCCCGCTTCGCTCCTGCTCACCTGCTGACACAGTAAACTGGAGGACAGCCGTTGCCAGGATAACCTGTAATGGGCAAGGCGCCACAGGAAGAAAACATTTCTTTTAATTTTTAAACTTGGTTTGAAAGGTAAGACCACTGAGAGTGTCAGGAGTTCCCGCCCATGAACTCCATCGAGGAGAGCAGTGTGCGCCTTGGCGCCTCGGTGGGCCGGGGCTGGGTCGTCTCTTTCAGGCGGCGTAGTCGGGTTCTCTGGCACCGTGGTGGTTTCCGCAGTCTCTGTGGTTGGCGCTGGTATGTCTTGTCGTGTGCAGCGCCCAAGGGGTTCCCAGGACAGTGTGTCGGAGATTGAGCTGGGCCCGAGGACCAGTCAGGCCTAGCAAGCTGAAGGAGCGTGGAGAGACTGCTAGTGGAGCAGCTGCTGCTTCTGGGTTACCTGGCTCCGTGTGTGTGTGTGTGACAGAGAGAGACAGAGAGTGTTTTGTTTTATAGCAGCCAAAGAAAGGATGGCTTCTAGCCAGACACCGTACTCCTTTTCAGCCCTGTTGCAGTCACTTTGGAACTCCCTACTGAAACTTCTCATGGAAGACCAGAGGTTGACTTTGCGTATTTGACTGTTAGCTCAGTAGCCACTCCTTTTTGAACTCTTAAAGTGTGCCTCATGAAATTGTTTTAGAATTGTTTCTTCTCTTTACAGAGTTTAAGGGGTTTTGACTTCTCTACTTTATTTGTTTAGTACTTTTTTAATCCTCACCCAAGGATATGCATTTTTTTAATTGACTTTAGAGAGAGAGGAAGGAAGAGAGTGAGAGGGAAAAACATCGATGTGAGAGAGAAACATTGATAGGTTGCCTCCTGTACCTGCCCTGACCAGGGATTAAACCTGCAGCCTAGGTATGTGCCTTGACCAGGAATCGAACCCACAGCCTTTTGGTGCCTGGGATGATGCTTCAACCAACTGGGCCACTTGTCTAGGGCTCTTGAGTACTTTTTAAATAATAGGTATCATTATTTGGTGATAGGAAATAAAATTTCAGACATTTCTCAGGATAACATTTTTAAGACTTTGTTTTTCTCTTTCTCTCTTTTTTTGTTTGTTCAGTTTTCTTTTTCTTTGCTGATAAGAGTTTCTTACCTTTGGTGTCTTATAGAACAATTTCTTACCTTTAGCTGTATTCCTCCCTTTTCTTATTTTGCTCCCCTCTGCTCCCCAGCAAGCTGTCCCGCACTAGAGTAGATGGACTCTTAAGAAATGACTCAGAAGTCTCCAGGTGCCGTCAAACTAAACTTGTGTTGTAAAGGCCCAGATGGTAAATATTGTAGGTTTTTGTGGGCCAAGAAACAAACAAAAAAAAGGCTATTATGAAAGTATTTATGTAACAGAGAAAACAAATTTTACAGATTCTGTTAATGAAATTAAAAATACAGAAATACTTGTTGAATTTTCTGTAATACAGATCTAATGAGAAGAATGGGACTCTTTGTCTTGGGGACAACATGTCACCTAATGGAGTTCCGTTACTCACGGTCACCTGGTCTGTGAGCGCAGGTCTGGGACGGGGCCTGGCGGGCCGTCCTCGCGGTGTCTGACGCCGCCCGCACTGCCACCTTCTGCCAGCGGCCCTCGGCGCGCGCGGCTTGAGCCGAGTTGTCCATCGCTCGGGAGGCATTTACAGAATTATGTTAGGTTTTCTTTCGATGTCTGTCTTTTAGCTTGTAGATTAATTTCCAGTTTAAGGTTAGGCGAAAGCTCCTCAGTAGCACAACTAGGTGGACTCTGAAATAGAGAAACTTCCTTTGTACATGCATTAAGGTCTGAGAAATGCTTTCACTCCCGCTTGAGTTCAGAAAACGTGTCTGCTGCAAAATTGTGTGGGAATGAGGAACGTCATATTTTAACTTCCGACATGTGGGAAATACATGAAGCAGCCCGAATTCGTTAAACATCAAGACTTCAGCAAAGGCGAATTTCCAGAGTCCTCTGTTGTTTAGTAGTGGTCGAGGGCTGTTCTTCTCTTTCAGAAAAATTTCAGTTTTAGTCCTCAGCTCACAAGGCTCATGAGAACTTAACCCTTGGTAAGCCTTAAAGCCGCTCTGTGGCGGGAGCTGGGGATGGGGAAAGCCCACGAGAGCAGGTAAGCTCGTGAGTGTCAGGTTAGTGCTGACATCACGGGGTCAGGAGCAGCTGATTTTTAAACGATCTCCCGAAGTGCTTGCTGACGGAAGCAGAGAGAGTAAACGCAAGCTTAAAGCACTGCACTTTCATAGGTTTTGTCAGTTTGTCCAGTTCAGCCCCTTGGCCCCACACGCCGTCTTCCCGTCATTGTTGCACATCACAGCAGACGCTGCTGCGGGCACCTTGTAGTGGTTGCGTCTTTTCGCAACTTCTCCGAAGACTCTGCCGGAGTGGTTTCATGCGGACTGTTCCTAGAAGCTAATTCTTCGGCACTTTAAACTCGTCAAATAAGCGACAGTTGGGGCTGTATCAGTCGTACCAGTGACCTCGTCAACAATTCAGGAAAACCATCCTTGGTTTCCTTGGTTAGTAAGCCAACTTTGCACCTCTGTTTTCATCTTTTATTTTTGTGAAGAAATTCTCCTGTTAGGAGATAATTCATTTTACATTTTCTAAATTTCCTTTTCTTTTTTTAGAGAGGGGGAAGGAAATGAAAAAGAGAGGGAGGAACATCAATGTGAGGTTGCCTTTCACACGCCCCCTACTGGGGACCTGGCCCACAACCCGGGCGTGTGCCCTGACTGGGAATCGAACCGGCGACCCTTTGGTTCGCAGGCCTGCACTCAACCCTGTGAGCCACACCAGCTGGGGCTGAATTTCCTGACTGGTGCTTTCCTGTGAGTGGGGAATACCGCGATGACTGCTTAGTCTGGTAATGTGGGCATGGGCAGTGTCCATCTAGCCCAGGTGTGGTGTGACTGCTGTCTCCGTTCATAACAAAACGACACACATTTCACGGTGCCGTCACAACTCGTCTGAGGTCCACTTTCCCTTTTCTTGGCTTGGCATGTCGGGCGTGCAGGGTGATGATCACGTCAGACGTTGCGGTGCAGCACGTGGCCCCGGAACACTGTTGCGTTTGGACTCTGTCACCGTGGTGACGACTGCCCCGCCAGGCTGTCGTGCGCGGAGACTGGGGAGGCGAGTGCTGCGGCTCTGTTCCAGGAGGCTCTGTGGGCTCTGCGGTTGGAATTTCGTAGAGTTTTTACAGGCCATGGGATGTCATTGTTTTGATTTCTTTCCCTCTAAACAATTAAGAGTGTGAAAACCTTTTTTTGCATGGAGGTTGCATAAAAATAGGTGCGAGACTAGATTTGGCGATCTCGGTTCTGCACCCTCCGTGGTGTCCCAGGAGCTTCTCTGGAGTTGGTTTACGTGCTCATGGCAAAAAGGATGGGTTGAAAGGGGACCTGAACACTAAAAGACACCATTGTAGTTTTTGCTGGTGGTTGGTTTGGGTGGTTGTTTTTTTCCCCTCTTTGTTTGCTTGTTTTTGTGTACAAGAGCAAGCGTATGCAGTTACCGCAGAGTCGTCTTATTTGGCAGGGCTTGGCGGGTTAGCCAGCCTTTCATGGTGTCCTGATTTCACAGTGAGCTTGCATTTAGAGCCCTCCCGAAGGGCCAAGGATTATGCTAAGTGCTGTTATGTTTTCCTTTCATAACTTTTTATCATATATGGGTACATCGTTTAAAAAGTCAAACTATCACAAGAGTTATTTAAATAAAAAGTCACCCTGGTTGGTGTGGCTCAGTGGACTGAGTGCCGACCTGCAAACCTAAAGGCTGCTGGTTCAGTTCCCAGTTGGGGCACATGTCTTGGTTGAGGCCCAGGTCTCCAGTAGGGGGTGCACAAGAGGCAACCACACATTGATGTTTCTCTCTCTCTCTTTTTCCCTTCCTTCCCCTCTGTCTAAAAATAAAATAAATAAAATCTTTATTAAAAAAATTATCTCTTTTTCCCCACCCAGTACCCACCTCATCCCTGAATTACTGGCTGGGGGCACTGCCTTCATTGCTTAGGCGTGCTCTTCTCACGTTTACCGTCCTTCCACAGTTCTCAGCCATGTGCCGTACGGCCCTTGACAGCACGACTCCTTCCCGTCCTCCTCCTCCAGCGTGGTTAAAGCACAGCTTTGGTTAATGTGAATTTGCGTTAATTATTCCCTGAGTCTCTGGCTTAATTTGCAGAAATCTTCTCGGCGCGGTCATGTGTGTGTCCGACAGTCCACCTCGTTCTGCCTCGTGCCTCCCTCGGGCTGGTCCCGCTGAACTTCTTTCTTGCGGCTGCAGGAGTCCCTCTGGTCCGTCCTCGTGTGCCGTGTCCCTGGTTTCGTGTCTCCCGTGTCCCGTGGCTTCCCCTCATGAGTCAGTGCCATGCCTGGGGGAAGCCCATTCCCCCATGGTTTTCTGAGGCCGTGTAAATAGATCTGCCAGACCTTCCGTGTCTGAAGATGTTCTTTTCTAGAGCGGCAGTTGAAGGAGCCGATGTCGTTCTGAGTGTTTCTGTCTCTCTGGAAGAGTTTACCTCCTCTCTTTACGTCTGATGCCATGGGATTCCACGCTGGGCCTCAGCAGAACCCTTCCAGCGCTCACCGGGGTGGCCTGTGCGGACCCTGGGGGCAGAATCCCATCCTTTACCTGCTGAGAAAAAAATTATTTTTTGATGAGAGGGGATGGCTGTGGATTACATGTTCTTCCAACACTGCTGTTACTTGGATGTTGGGCTTTGTGAGCTATTTCTCCATTTTCTGTCCAGTCATAAATTTGTTGGATGCTGCTTGGTTGCTGTTGTGTTTCCGTGTCTTTCATTGTGGTTGAGAGTTTTCAGAGGATGGGAACTGTTTGGGGTGCAGCTGGCCCGCTGAGCAGCACCTGGGAGGTGGTGTCACCCTTTCTGTTTTCTTGTCCGGACTCCCTGTCGGCGTGGATGTGGCCGTGCCCGGTTGATGAGACAGACTTTGGGAGAGAGTTACCAGACCGCGGGGTGACCACATAGTGTGCCTTTGTCCCTGGGGCAGGCGCTCCTCTGCTGCCTCCCTCCCAGGGGCCCATCCGGCTCGGCCAGAGCGCCTCCGGCCTGCGGGCCTCTCGTGTGGTCCTGGCCCTCATCTTT